GGGGTCCATGGAGAGCCGGGGGGATCTTCCCACCCAGGACCCCCCAAAATCCCTCAAAATGCCCCAAATTTCCCCCGCCAGGGCACCTTCCAGCAGATGTGGATCTCGAAGCAGGAGTACGAGGAGGGCGGGAAGCAGTGTGTGGAGCGCAAGTGCCCCTGAGGGGAGGTTCCGGTCCCTGAGGGGAAAAATGGGGAAAAAAAAAAAATTAAAACCCGCAAAGCCCGCCTGAATCCGGCTCTGAGGCACCTGTGGGGCTGGGTGGCGGTGGGGATTAACGGGTGCTGTTTATGTGTGGGGCTGCGGGACTTTTTTACCGATTCCGGCGGTTTTGGCCTCAAAACGGAGCGGGGGGGGGGCGACGTTTCCCCGCGCGCCCGGTCACGTGACGGGGTTGGAGGGGCACGTGCCGGGACGGGGCACTGCGCAGGCGCGAGAACACGTGACAGCGAGCGGCGGGAAAGGAGGGGCGAGCGCGAGACGCTGCGGCGCCGCCCTGAGGCCGCAGCGGGAACTGCGCGCTGTTCTCGCGAGAGCAGCCGCGCGCGAGACGTGCGCTCCGTTACCGGGCGGGTGGGGCGGGGGAAAGACAGCCGGTTCGGTGACGTCACGATCGGAACGGTGACGTGAGTACGCGGCCCGGGGACAGAGGAGACACCCGCGCTGGAACTGGAGAGGCTGTGCGGGGAGGAGGCGCTCGCACTGCGCACGCGCAACTCCCGCACGGACTCCAACTGCCGGCAGCCTCCGCGCGCGCGGCGAGGCCCCTCCGCAGGGTGGCTTTACCCCGCCTGCTCCGCCTGTTCGCCGCCCAGCCTCCCCGTCCCCGCACCTCTCCCTTCCCTCAGACCTTCAGTAGGATTCTCTGCGCTCCCTCCCCACCCGGCCTCCCGCCGTTCTCCCCCGCCCTGCGCGCAGGCGTTCGCCGCGGCCACCCCTAGCTCCTGAGGCCCCCTCTCTCTCCCCGCGCGCCCACTCCCGTTATTGGCCGCCGTGCGCCCCTCAGCCGCTCCTATTGGCGGTACGCCGTCGCCCCGCCCCCTTTTGTAGGCGTGCCCGCACTTGGCCCTGCCTCCCGCCTATATAAGCCCCGCCGGGCCGCCGCGGCGCTGCCATCGCGGGCGGGAGGCGGCGGGCGCGGAGGCCCCGCGCGCGCGGTTCCCCCCGCTCCCCCCTTCGGCGGCGCATGCGCGGGGGCGGCGCGGCGCAGCGCGCAGGCGCGGGCCGGGCCGCCATGGCGGCGGCGCCTGAGGCCTTCCTGGTGCCGCCGCCGCCGCCGCCTCCTCCCGCCGCCGCCGCGCCACCCCCGGGCCCTCCCGACCCGCCCGAGGCGCCGCGGCCCCGCAATGGCCTCCGCGCCGCGGGCGGCGGCGGCGGCGGCGGGAAGCGACGCAGCAGTTGCGGAGCGAAGCAGCCGGCGTGGAAGCGGCGGCGCCGCGCGGCCTCGGAGTGCGGCCCGGTGCTGCCCTCAGAGTTCCTGCTCGGCGGGAACATCTTCGACCCGCTCAACCTCAACAGCCTCCTGGACGAGGAGGTGAGCCGGGCGCTGAACGCGCGCACCCCGCAGTCCTCGCCGCTCCCGCAGCGCGGCCGCGACCCGGTGGAGATCCTGGTACCGCGGGACATCACGGACCCGCTGAGCCTGAACGCGCCGGGCGAGGGGCTGCGCTTGGCGTCCCCGGCCAAGAGCGCCCGGCGCCGGCACCGCCACCGCGGGCAGCAGCGCGGCGCTTCCGCCAGCGCCGCCTCCGCCAGCGCCGCCGCCGGTACCGGCACCGGCACCGGGCCCGGCGAGGAGCCCGCCCGCCCCGCCGAACCCTCCGCCGCTTCCACCGCCCCGCCGTGCCCCGCCGCCCTCCCCGCCCCCGGCCGGCACCGTAAGCGCCGACGGACTTGCAGCAAATCCGAGGGGCCTCGCCCGCCGCCCCCTCCCGCTGCCGAGAAGCCGCCGAAGCCCCCCGGGAAAGCGGCGCAGCGGCCGCGGCACCAGGTGCGCAAGTTCCAGTACGGGAATTACTGCAAATACTACGGGTACCGCAACCCGGACGTGGAGGACGCGCGGCTGCGGGCGCTGCGGCCCGAGTGGTTCGCGGGGAAGGAGGTGCTGGACGTGGGCTGCAACGTGGGGCACCTCACGCTGAGCATCGCCAAGCGCTGGGCGCCCGCCAGGGTCGTGGGGCTGGACATTGACGGGCGGCTGATCCGCTCGGCCCGGCAGAACATCCGCCACTACCTGTCCGAGGGGCTGGGGGCGGACGGCGGCGACGCCGCGGCGGGGGGGGCCAGGAAAGGCTTCCCCGCCGCGCTCTTGGCCAGCCGGGGCCCCATCGCCGCCCCGCAGCTGCCGCCCGACGGGCCCGGGGCCGCTGATTTCCCGCACAACGTGGTGTTCGTCACGGTGAGCGAGAGGGATGGGGTTCGGGGGAGCGGGGACGGGGAGTCGGGATGGGTTTTTCGGAAGGTCTGAAGGGGGCTCGAGACGAGTTTTAGGGAAGGTCTCGTGCGGGTTCTGCGGGGTGTCTTGGAGGAATTGAGGGGGGTTTGGAAAGTCGCGGTGGGTACGAAGGAGGCCCGAATGGAATTTTAGGAGGGTCTCGGTGGGTCTGATGGGGGTGACAGGAGCGTGAGGCCTCGGAGGGGATTTGGGACGGATTCTGCAAGGTCCGAGTGGGTCTGAAAGGGACGTGTGGGATGTTTTAGAGGGGTCTGGGGGATGACAGGTAGGTGTGCGGTGTTGGCGAGGCTTTAGGAGGGCGTTTGTTGGGTTTTAGGGGGTCTTGGTGGGTTTAGAGTGGCTGGAGGGGTCGAGGAGAGTTTTGAGTGGATCTTAGATGGGTTTGGGGGGTCCTGTTAGGCCTAGAAAGGTTAGAGGTGGATTTGGGGGTCTCAGGTGAGTCTGGGGGCAGCCTTAGATGAGTTTTCCGGGTGACAAGCGGCGCGGGGGGATTTTTGGGGGAGTTTCTGGTGAGTTCCAGGCTGCTTTTAATGGGTCTGAAGGCATCACCAAGAGGTTGGAGTGGTGCGAGACCCCCTCCCACAACCTCCCAAAATTCCCGTGCGGGACTCGGGACGTGTCCAGAGCCCTTCCGTGGGGCTCAGCCTGTGCCCCCCGCCCCCTGACCGTGCCCCCTCCCCAGGGTAACTACGTCCCGGAGCGGGAGGAGGCCGTGGGGGCCCAGCGCCCCGAGTTCGACGTGGTGCTGCTGCTGTCCCTCACCAAGTGGGTGCAGCTCAACTGGGGCGACGAGGGGCTCAAGAGGCTCTTCCGGAGGGCGTTCCGGCACCTGCGGCCCGGCGGGCTCCTGCTGCTGGAGCCACAGCCCTGGGAGTCCTACCGCAAGCGCAAGGGGCTCACCGTGAGTCTGGGAGGGGTTTTGGGGGGGGTCCTGTTCATCGGGATCCAGCGCTGGTGTCAAGCGTGGAATTTGTGGGCAAATGCGGGGGGCTCACGGTGAGGTTCCAGGGGATTTTGGGGGGTTCTAAAGGGGCCTGGGGGGGTCACACAGGGGTCTCGGGTCACACAGGGGTCACGGGCAGGTTTGGGGTGGTTAGAGAGGGGTCTGGGGGGGATCTTTGAGGGGTTCTGGGTTTGGCAGGTCAGTGAGGGGGTTTTAGGGGGGGTCTCAGTGGGGTTTTGGGGCTTTGTGGGCGGGGCTAAAGGAGGTTCCAGGAGAGTTTTGGGTCAGAAATGGATTTTTAGGGGCTTAGAAGGAGCCCCCTTGGGTTTAAAGGTGTCTCAGGTGGGTTTCGGGGGCGTGACCACGGGATTTAGGAACACCCTCGTGGGGCTCGGGGGGATCAGAGCGTTACGGGGGAGGGGATCTCCGAGTTTTTGGGGTTTTTTTTTTTGGGGGGGCGTTTCTGGGGGCTGATCCCACGTTCCCAGGAGACGACGTACCGGAACTACCAACGGATCCGGCTGCGGCCCGAGCAGTTCCCGGCCTACCTGACCTCCCCCGAGGTGGGCTTCGAGCGCTGCGAGCTCCTGGGGACCCCCCAGCACAGCTCCAAAGGTACGGGGGACCCCAAATCCCAGGGTGGGGACCCCAAATCCCAGGGTCAGGACCCCCAAATCCCAGGGTCAGGACCCCCAAATCCCAGAGTTGGGGCCTCACACCCCAGGGGGATTTTAGGGGTCAGAGGGGGGCACCTGGTTTGAGAGAAAAGGAGGTTCTGGTGTGCGGGGGGGACGCCCCAAACTGGGGGTTTGGGGTCACTCAGAGATTTGGAGGGGTCGGGATGGGGGAATCACCTCAGATCCGTGGGGAGTTTGGGGCTGGGGGCTTCCTGGGGTGTTTTGGGGTGAAGTGGGAGGGTTGTAGATTTGGGGACCCCCCCCTCACCCAATCCTTTCCTCCCCCCCCCAGGCTTCCAGCGGCCGATTTATCTCTTCCACAAGGGACGAGGTGACGCCCCCTGAGCCCCCCAAAACTCCCCCCGGTCTGGGGGGACCCTGATGCTCGCAGGGTGGGGAAAGGGGGGGGGGTCGCCCCCCACCCCACCGGATGCCAAACGGGGGGAGGGGGGCTCTGTTTGCGCCCCCCCCCTCCCCCCAATTTTTGGGGCGTTCCCTCCCCCCCCCCGGCGTTTGCCGTGG